CTTTCTTTGTTATTATCGGCCGCATAGGTGATTGACCTGTTTGAAACTGCACAGGGAGAAATGAGATATTATTTTTATATTATTAGGTATTATTAGGATTATGAGTAAAAGAAAAATATTTTTATATAAACGGTTTTACAAAAAAAAAAAATTCTAGCATGGGAACTAGTAATATATACACACAATCAATAAAAGTTACTGGGTATACAAATAATGAATAAAAATTGAACTTTTAAATTTTGTTTTGAATATGGTACAGTAGAATAACAAAACAATATTTTTTTTTCAATATTTCACATTTATTGTGATACCAATCCCTCATCGAGCAGCATGTTGCTATCAACATGTAACAAAAATCCCCGAAGACTTTACTTCTTTTTTCATTACATTGCTATAATATCAATTTTGGGTATAAGGATATTGCATTTGTCTTTTTGTCATTTTGATGAAAAATTATTCTTATCCTTCGTCACTGACTCTCACGCACATGAATTGTAATTTATTTGTACCGAAAATTAAAAACGTTTGACCATTTTTTTTTCTCGTGTAATATTTGAAGCTCATTTGTAAATATTTGTTTGTAAAATAAAAATGTTAGTTTAAATACTCTTCTACTTAGAAATAAAAATATACATCATATTAAAATTCGTGAGTATTTTCCTTTGACTCATTTTGGCGGAAATACTTTAAAGTGCTTCTTTTTTTCACTATCATCATGATCATGTAAAACATACTGACAACAATGAATTAGCCAAAACACCCAAGCGTTCAGTCTAAAGGAATTTTTTGCATCAAAATATTTTGTTATACAAATAAACACTACAAATTAATAAAGTATAGACTATCTATATAAATGCGTTCGAGTTTAAAATTTGTGCTACTAATGGATAATGAGATGCTGTGAAATCATTATCATTGATAGCCCTCTGCGTAATGCAAGTGTGATAATAAAAAGGCTCGTTTGTATTTACATTGTTTGAAATAAAGGCCCAGAAGATGGCGTGAAAAATTAGGAAATTAATATACAAAATGAAGATTCAAACTATATATAGAACCTAGTTAAATATTTTTTTTAATTGTACATGTACTACTAATAGATTCCAATTTGATTTTTAAATTCTCATTGAAATTTTAATGAGACTTTTAAATACTCGTGCGCATTAAATCTTTTTAAGGTACTTGTATTAACTTTTTCGAATTATACTGCAGAAATAGGATTTGTGACGTAATTGGTGTTTGCCAGTACTTATTAATATGCACCATATTGTTCAGAGATAAAACCCGCCATTATACATCCACAAACATAGGATTTCCGTACACACGAAAGTTAGGTTTGTTCCCGTTTTGCACACATTTGAATTACAGGTAATTAAAAAATATGTGAAAAACGGGAATTTGACCAGGTGAGATAATTTCTTAATTGCTATAGTCTATACCATACTTAGTAAGTAGGTGAAAGGTAAACTTATAGTGAAAAAATAAGAGAATAAATACATATTTAATGTACTTTATATCTATTTATTGATATATTTCATGAGCATAATACAATTGAGCATAATACAATTCTCTATTTTGTTTATTATTTGTTATATCTTTAATTCATTTAGAATTTTCTCAAGATTTCTTTTTTTAAATGGACTTAATAAATAAATATTAATGATTTATTTAATAAAATATTCAATAAAATCAAACATTTTCCCATAAATATATATGGAATTTTAATAAAATGCTTATAAAAATTATTGCGGGGACTTCCGGTCAGCCATGACACACAGTATGTGAAATAAGACTCGAAGAAAAAAGTGGGGGAGTGCTTCAAAATATGTGTGTGTGGTAATGTAAAAACAATTGCTTGTTAAATCAATGTTGCAGCTACTGTATGAAATATCTTTTTTCGTTTTAAAACGAGCTAATTTCAAACTTTAATGTATATCTTATCGTGACCCCGATCCAGTGATCCAGTGAGCTCCACTCACCATCTAATGCCGCTACCAAATAGTGCCCCTGACACTAAATGTAAAAGGTCTGTAGAATCTAGTTTCACAGAGCATCTATCTTCACCAAGACGTATAACGTCATCTTCGTCGTTACCTGACATTTCTATATTATCATCTGAAATGGCTACAACTGAAAACAAGAGTAATAACCAAAACCCCTCCTCTACACTATGGACCCCGGCTACTAAAGGTCTAAGTTCCTTATCTCCAGACCCACAAAAGAATCTCGATTCCTCAAAATCTGAGCATAAACCCATGGGGGAGTTACAAACCTCCATGATAAATGAACTGATCGTAAAAACCATTAACAGTCAAGCTTTCATAGGGGCGTTTGCTCCTCTCATTGCTTCGACAATTACCCCCCACATTCAGGTCATAGTTCAGAGTTGCATTCAACCAATTTTAAGTTCGATTCAAGAACAACAAAAAAACATAGAAGATCAAAACGAACAAATACAATCACTAAAACAAATCAACTCTGATCTCCAACAAAGGATGGAGGACCTTGAATGCGGTCTGGATAATCTGGAGCAGTACGGACGCAGAACGTCATTACGTTTCCACAACGTACCCATACCAGCTGCTCCAGGGTCAGAGGACGAGGAGGAGGTGGCCCCAGATACTGCGGAAGCGTATTAGTGCCACTTGAACACTTCACTTTTTTTTATTTCTACACTTTAATCTGTAAATTTTACACTTTAATCTGTAAATTTTACATTTTAATCTGTAAATTTTACACTTTAATCTGTAAATTTTACACATTTATCTGTAAAATTTACACTTTAATCTGTAAATTTTACACTTTAATCTGTAAAATTTACACTTTAATCTGTAAATTTTACACTTTAAAGTGTAAATTTTACACTTTAATCTGTAAATTTCACAGATTAATGTGTAAAATTTACACTTTAATCTGTAAAATTTATACTTTAATCTGTAAATTTTACACTTTAATCTGTAAATTTTACACTTCAATCTGTAAATTTTACACTTTAATCTGTAAAATTTACACTTTAATCTGTAAATTTTACACTTTATTCTATACATTTTACACTTTAATCTGTAAAATTTACACTTTAATCTGATTCAAGGACGTTTCTTTAATGCTACGTTAAAAAATGACCGTGATTTTAATACTATAGTACATGTATATCATTTCATCATGACCATAGAACCATGAACTTGTAATATCAATCTGAATCGCAAATAAAAAAAATATTTGAGATATATATTTTTACTGTTCATTACACTATAGTAAAACTAAAGAAACACATGTATATATACTGAAACAAAAGCAGATCCCTGATTTCTTATGCTGGGAAAATTACGAGACTCACGAGGAAACCGTCCATCCTTGTATATCATATACTAATAAACATATACATGTAAAACAAAATATGCAAGCAATGTGAAAATCTCAGTTTCATACTTTTTTCAAGTGTCATAGGTAAAACATCACGAATCGACCGTTTGATTATAACCGATAACAGTTCAAGTTGTTCAAAATAAAGTGTAAAAGGATGTATTCGCTTTAACAAAAGAATTGACCTATAGGAGAGAACAATTTCCCGGAAAAAGTGACATTTAAAAATCAATCTTTATTTGTTGTTTTCTACCGTATATATGTCTAAATTTTTTAAATTTGTATTTTATACCTAAAATTTATTATTTACAACTTTACAATAATCCTCCAAAGTTGATCGAAACACCATTTTGTCCTTTAAAGGTACTTGGACACAGATTTGAAGTTAATATTTTCTCATTTTTTCTGTATAATATCATGAATTATATATTTTAATAGCATTTCACACAAAAATTAATTAAAAATCTTATTTCATTTAAAAGTTATTAAAACTTTAAATTTTTTGGCGGGTTTGATTGACACATCCTTGCACTTTCACAAATTTTAACTTTATTCTTAATCCTTAGGAAAAGTGGCAATTTTGATGTGTTTTAATGAGAAATATTAAAACTTTTATCAAGAAAAATAATTTTATTCAGAGTAGAAATGTTAGAAAGCAAAACACCTTCACAAGTATCGTCATTCCGAACTAAGAGATGCGTACAGAGTTTAGCAAATCGAGCACACTCGTGTTATGTACACAGTTTTTGTAAACAGAGCTCGAGTTCTGTTATTGTTTATATTTAGAATTCACCGGGTGCGTTCAATCGTCACAGTCTGCTTACCACAACTGCACGGACTGACAATATATTGTGTGTTTGTTTTGCTTTCGAACATGTCTACTCTGAATTTTCTTGATTATAGTATTAATATTTTTCATTTATACAAAACGAGGTTGCCACTTTTCCTAAGGATTAAGAATAAAATTAAATTTGTGAGAGTGCAAGGATATGTCAATCAAACCCGCCAAAAAATTTGAAATTTCAATATCTTTTAAACGAAATAAGATTTTTAATTAATTTTTGTGTGAAATGCTATTAAAATATATAAGTCGTAATATTATAGAGAAAATAATAACTTCAAATCTGTGTCCAAGTACCTTTAAAGCGTTGATTTTTGCATGAATTTTGGCCTTAAAGTTCATCAGGGCAGGCCTGCCCCTAAATAAAACAATGATATTTTGATAGGTTAGGATGTAAGGAATAATTTAAGATAAGATTTTTTCTAGGGGCACCCCTGCCATGAGGTCGAAATTCACAAAAAACCTACAAAAAATAAGGAAACCAGATTTTCAAAATCTTCTCTAAATTTATGCCATTCATTCTTATAGTCAGACTAGCTCAGTCGATATGTGCGCTGACTTTTACACCTTGGATACTCTCTTTTTAAAGTCAGGGGTTCGAATCCACCTGGTACAACACTTTTACAGTTTTAAATTTCGCCTTTTCAAAGACTATTTTAATTTTTTTTATAGACTTGTATATTTTTCCTTCAATTGTTTATCCCTTATGCATTCCCATTCTTGATATAAGAAACACTAAAGAGATATTAAATCGTAACAATCCAATGTACAGTTGTCAGTCAGGTGGAACGAACCTCAGTATAAGCACACTTTCTCCGAGGACAAGAATAACTCACTATGTGTTACTCAATACAGGTATTCCTGGCAGCATTGAGTTGCGATGAATTTCAATTGTATATATCCCTTAGAATTTAATCACATTGATTTTGGCTTCATATTTCAGTAAATGCACTCACTTGGATTTCATGTAGGCCTTTATAATTTGCACACATTAAAGACAAGTTTTTATTATATCCACGGATAAATAGCCTAGACATTAAGAATAGAATTTCAGAGGCAGTAGACATTACCTTTATGCACAATGAGAAGTAAAGACAAATATCAATTATTACATTTGGAGATAACAAACTCAGAAAATCAATAAAAAGCGTTCCTCCTTTCTCTACTCACTGAAATAAAGATTTAGGAAAAACAAATTGTTATATGTATTCAGCCTAATGCCGTTAATCAGAACGGAAATCGACAAGCTTTTTGTAGAGAATAAACCAAGCCCGGTCCTATAGGTCAGATCCCTATTTATAATGAAGTGATCCTTTACAGATTAAAGTGTAAAATTTACAGATTAAAGTGTAAAATTTACAGATTAATGTGTAAATTTTACAGATTAAAGTGTAAATTTTACAGATGAAAGTGTAAATTTTACAGATTAAAGTGTAAAATTTACACTTTAAAGTGTAAATTTTACAGATTAATGTGTAAAATTTACAGATTAAAGTGTAAAATTTACAGATTAAAGTGTAAAATTTACACATTAATCTGTGAATTTACAGATTAAAGTGTAAATTTTACAGATTAAAGTGTAAAATTTACAGATTAAAGTGTAAAATTTACAGATTAAAGTGTAAATTTTACAGATTAAAGTGTAAAATTTACAGATTAAAGTGTAAATTTTACAGATTAAAGTGTAAAATTTACAGATTAAAGTGTAAAATTTACACTTTAAAGTGTAAATTTTCAAATTAATGTGTAAAATTTACAGATTAAAGTGTAAAATTTACAGATTAAAGTGTAAATTTTCCAGATTAAAGTGTAAAATTTACACTTTAAGTGTAAATTTTACAGATTAAAGTGTAAATTTTACAGATTAAAGTGTAAAAACTCTGCATTTGTTCCGTGTATTCGTAATGTAGCAAAAGAAACATGGGCGATAACTCGTACACACTATAACTCAGTGCATTTACTACGAACAATCTAGAGAGTTTTGAATGTAAACATGGCAGGTAAATTTGAAGCGAGAGAAAAACGTTGAGAAGACGTATTCTAACTGTGGTGAGGGCTTGTACCGAGACACAGTTAGATCATTCTAACTAGTGTTTTTCCTTTGAAGTAAAGTGTACAATAACTGGAGATACACCGATGGGCGGAGCCAGCAAAAACTGTGCCGTGTAAATAAATTATTGAACACCAAGGCGATTTCATCATTTTAAATTACATGCATATTGAATTTGAATTATAGAATAAAATGGGCCATACAAAGGCTAAATTTCTGCAAGTGAAATAAAAGTCTTTCTCATAAATTACAGTGCGTATCCCAAACTACGAAAATGCTTTTACGGAACTCTGCAAATATTCAATCCTCCGCAACGAGAAATCAAGTTCTTGACGCGAATTTCACACAGAATTATATTAAAATATCACACCTATTGTAATAAAGCGCTTTAGCAAAAAATACCTTCTTTGCTCAACGAGAATAAGTGCAGATGTACTGCATCCACGGATGAGGAGTTATTGACCCTGACACAGCTTTTTCGTGAATGCGACAGCTCTCAAATATATCAAATGATCAACGGGTATCTTTTTCTTGATTTTCGAATGACATTTGAATTTTCCTTCTTAACTTCGAATTTTTCCTGTATGATATCCAAAGGTTTTCTTGTGATTTTCATTTAAAAAAATCCGTGCTTAAATTACGACGGGATGCTGCAATCCGACGTCCTTTCTCATGAACACACACACGTAAAATGAGTTTATTAAATATACTGGCAGGAAGGAGAGATTATCCATGCGGTCACCTGACAAACACTATATTTTCTATTGGTGTAATTAAAAATCATGCATATTATTTGTGATATGACGTCGACGTTTGATTGGCCATGATACAAGAAAGTTATTGAATATTTATTATATGGTGTATCCTGATTTATTTGGACGAAGGGCGGAGACTCGTGCTTCGCACTCGTCACCGCCCTTCGTCCAAATAAATCAGGATACACCATAATAAATATACAATAACTATTACTTAATGATTTAAAAAAAAACAAACTGCACTGTCTGGTTGTGGAGCTGGTGTAAATTTCGTGAGTCCGTAGCATTACGGTCGCACAGTCTCCTAACAAACAGTACTCATACATGTGTCCGCAAGATCAGTTTGCCTTGGTCTATACACACGTGCGATGGAGAACTTTGTCAAACGCACCAAGCGAAGTCTGAGAAACACGTTTTGTTTTGCCGAGAAGTTACCATGACAGACAAAACTTTTTTTTAATTAGATCATATGAATACGAATTCTGATTATTAAAAATTAAACAATCCCGGTTTTCAGTTTAGAAATCTCCAACCCGGTTCGGGTTTTCCTACACATTTTATAATTACGACTCCCTACAGTTTACACTGTCTACACACGAGCAGAATCCGACCAGGGATTGAAAATTTCGT